TTTTTTTGATTTTTACTTTTTTGTTTACTTAATTTTAGTGATGTATGGGAAAGAGTCTTTAATTTTAGTTCTATATATATATAATTTTTAACTCTTAGTACAGATTAAAATATATTTTAGTTCATAGTTTCTTTTTTGTTAGATAGTTCTATATATAGATTTCTATAATCATATAGATAGTTTTTTACCTGATTAGTAGGTTTTATATCTATAGACAAGTTCTTTTAGATTTTAGAATAGTTTTTTTAATTTCTTTATATTTGGTTGTTTCTTATATATTTCTTTTTTACTTTCCTTATTTTTGCTTTACTTTTATCTTTTTTTTTTTTTTTTACTTCTCTATAAGAAAATATTATTAGATTGACGATACTCTATTGTAGAGTGTTGATTCTAACAAGGTCGGTGAGAGCTATTTGTTAATATCTAGAGCTTATATCCTTAGAAAGTTGAGGATCCTGAAAGAAGAAAAATTGTTTATGTAAATGGATCACTTCTAGGTTATACTTTAATGTAAAATTTAGGGGTTTCTTACTGTTTATTGCAATAATAAGACAAATTAAGAAAAACTTTATTTGAACAAAAATATAGTAATTTAATAATTTGCATATAGATTTAGCTAGCTGAGGAAAATTTTGTAATCTACTTCTGATTTATAAAATAAAGGTAGAATCACTAAAGTAAAAAAAAAAAAACATTAAAATTTTTTAGAAGATATTTATTGAGATTTTTTTAATATTAAGAGTCAAGTTTAAGGCAGAGACAATGATTTTCTGTGGTGGTTAAGACTTAATTCTGTATGTGGTTAAGATAAATTTTGTGATTTAATATGATAACTTTTTTTAAAAAAATACAAAATTCTGTGATTTAATGTGATGATTTTTTTTTTTTTTTTTTAATTTGGCAAGGAAGACTGGTTAATACAGAAACCTGACAACATTACCCGGCTGCCCACATGGATACCCAGATATAACTTTGTTGCACTACTAGTGCGCTATGACTGAGACCAACACTTGTGATCAAAGTACCTCTCAACTTTGGAGAAGCATTGTCATTAAACCGCTGAGCTAGTAGAGGAGGATCATACCTGTACTGATGCTACTTCTAAATCCCGAAACTACTATATCTAGCTAAACCTATATTCTCTGCTTCTACCATCTTGCTTCTGTATAACTCTCAAATTGGTAATATTCAGATTATAGATCTTTATGATCTCCCAGTTTAGTGTGCTATATTATTGTTTTCCCTAAGGTATTCTGACATTGGTCCAGGATCTGCAGGAACCCGTATCTCAAACCAGAAACTGCTGCCTAGTTAGGTTCACCATATGACAGTATTGGTATTTTATTGTCAGGTAATCTCTACCACTTATCTGCCCAGGTACTACTAACCCGTATCTCAAGCCAGTTTCTGCTACCACAGCTCAACTACAGATGCCCCAGGTCTTAACATTATACAGTTACTCAGCGCCTTCTTTAGTTCTTTTAAGTACTACCTCTATAGTGAGTTTAGAATATATTTCACAAGCATCCAGGACAATTCTGGTTATACCCAGAGAGTTCACCGACCCTAGTGATACTATACTACCATATAATGCTTGCTCTCAGCATGTTGTCATACAATACCAGGACAATTCCGGTTATTCCTAGGGAGTTATACCAACCCCAGTAATGCTCTACTACTATTTGTTATTGTAAACCCCAGAGGTTGGTAGATCCTAGACTTGTTCGTTATAGACTTCCATATAGGTATGACCGGAGCCTGATTCAGTATCTTTATACGTACACAGAATGTCAGACAACCTTCATAGTCTTAGCCTTTTATAGTATCTTCATTCTGCTTTGCCAGAGGTGCTTCTGATTTTGGTAAGGCCAATCCTTTACCACAAACTGTCCACATGTTCACCACTTTTCTCACCACTTCCAACTTTGGTTATGACGATCACTCTCCCAAGCAAGTACCCGTATCTTCTTTTTAAATAAGAACTTATTCGCGCAATCCATTGACTATCCTTCCAAGCAAATACCCCACAAGTTAGATGTAGGGATGTTGGTATTGCCAAACTTGAAGATACAAGGATGTTGGTACTGCTCCGTCTCTTAAGATCTTATTCGTGCAATCTTCATAGCCGCAGTCTTCTATAATACGCTAGTTATACGTAGTGCTAATGCTCCATATTTAGGTCTTTTTCCAGGAATTCCTATTCCAGCTTCATACCTGCACTTGAACTTAGCCACAGGGCTCCGTGTTCAATTATGGCCCCAAAGGTTACAGAAACAAATTATTTAATTTGCCTCTAGCCCGACTTGAACTATCGATCTTGTCTGTAGGGATTTGAGAGCTTAACCAATAAGCTACGGGACCCAAACTCTGATGATTTTTTTTAAAAATTAAAACTGAGCATACATATACTTACCCAATTATGGAAACAACAGATGCTAAACGATTCCTGGCAGAAATCAGACCAAAATACTCATTTACTCTTCCTCTTCCTACTAATATTATGGTAGCAAACCCAACAGACAAGCCAATACTATCTGAAAACCCATCTGATATCAAGGAATACAATATCACCACTCCTATAACCACGACCAAACAACTAGTTGATACCGCTAGATTGCTACGAGAAACTTATTACTTCTATAGAATCCCTGATAGCTGGATTGAAATACAAGATCTATCACAAAAACCAACAATCCCCGACGA